TGTAATTTGACTAAGATCTCTTGTAGTTCCCATACAAGCCACGATTTAAGTATAGTTAGAAATCTATCTTAAATATGTGCCGTGTCCTCCCATGCCACATCTACAAACTGCAGTCATTAATCCCCCTTCTTCGTTCTAATTCTCTTTCCTTGATGTTTGGCATGCTACCTCTAGATACTGATCAAGGAGAACCCTTCACACCATATCAATACAGGGATGTCTGGGCAGTGGTTTTCATGGCAAATATAGCCACTCCTTCCCTCCCATCTATGAAATTATTAAACTCTCTACAAATATGAAGCTTTTGGGGGTTTGATGTTGTTGTTTTTTAAAATGAGTTTGGCCAATATAAATCAACTCATCAGAGGCTGGATAGACATCATCATTAGCATGAAAAAGTTTGAGAACCAGACCACGGAGGTAAAGACTTCATAAGGACAAACTTAAAATAGCAACCCTGTTATATTTAAACACTCACGTCTGTTACTTGATCATAGAATTTTAAACCAGTCCAAGGCAAAACATTCCTTTTCTCCACCTAGTCAATTCTCACCAACCTGAATAGGGAATAGAGAACATAAGGCCATGAATCATCACAGGCCATCCTTAGGCAGGGTGAGGCATATACAACAGCACAGTTATGATCGAATGCTGCCTCTCCTTGTTTTAAACAAGGAATTATATTATTAACAGTTATCTCTGGAATGATTTTCATTTTTGTATTTTATGTACTCTAGTATAGGTTGAATTTTTACAAAAAAAACCATGGATTTTGTATTTCCATTTTGAGAAAAAAAATATACATGAATCACTTTTTAATTTGGTTCACATAAAAACATGTAAGACCAACAATGTCAATATTTCAGGGTAAAATATACTAGCACAAGGAAAAAAATATCACGAGAAAACATCCTGTAGAGACCAAAGTGACCTCAAGCAGGTGTTTTTCAAATACAATTTAATTTTTTGGGAAGACAACAGATTACAGCTTAACAATAAAAATCTATGGAAACTTTTCTGCCTTTGTATCCCAAATGGTTGTCTCCCCTTTGGGCCAGAAGGTTAATAGCTAAGGCTTATTAGCACTTTCCTGACTAGAAGAAGAGAGGCCTGAAAGCAGACACTTCTTTTTTCCTGCACATTAGGATAGGAATTGGTGCTAAAAAGAACACAGAGACACTCTTAATAAAAGCTCCATGAACTTATCTTCTCCAGAGCCTGGCGAAAGAGAATAAGGAAAGGAAACAGTACAAAAATTTAGCACTGTTCGGGTGCCTGGGTGGCCCAGTAGGTTAAAGCCTCTGCCTTCGGCTCAGGTCATGATCCCAGGGTTCTGGGATGGAGCCCTGCATCAGGCTCTCTGCTCAGTGGGGAGCCTGCTTCCCTCTCTCTCTGTCTCTGCCTGTCTCTCTGCCTACTTGTGATCTGTCAAATAAATAAAATCTTTAAAAAAAAAATTTAGCACTGTTAACATGAAATCAAAACACAAGGTCAAGAGCAAGTGGCTGAGACTGCACTCATGCCCCGCTAAGGTCCTGGTTAAATATGGTCTCTTTTTTCTCTGACAATGAGGCACCAGGACTCCCCCACAAACCACCCCCCTAAGTAGGCCATCCCACTGGAATGGGAAGAATAGAAAGGCTTCTGGAAAGGCGACTCAACCTGAGTTATTCTACACAGTGAAAATTTGGTCATGATGGAGAAATCTCTTAAAACGAATGTTAAGATGTTAAAGAAAAGTTCTACTGCAGACGGTCTTTATTGATCTTTGAAAATAGTTTCCCATCCACCAGGTTTCAATTTTCTCTAAGATGAGGAAGCCCCCATCCAGCGCCCAAACCCATTCAGTTATTATTGATACTTCATCAGATAGCCAGCAAGTGAATCAAAAATAAAGTTTTGAGGTTGTGATGGCCAGCCATCATTCAGGCTTCATCTTTCAGTATCCCAATTCTCTCCATCATATCCATTTGCACTGACAAAATTTCATGGACTCAAATTTCTTCGTTTCAAAGAAGGTAGTGATTGCTTTGAAGTTAACATGAGAACTGCATCCTTCACCATTTCTGCTCCAAAGTGCCTTGAACTTCGAACCATGAAACTGATTCTAAGTCTCCTCAAAAAGCCTGGAACCACTCCTCGGGTTCGAGAAAATCGTTCCTGCCGTGAGACAGTGAGACATACGGTATGGAACTACACTCAGGCCAACGGAGAATCTGCGCGTTACCTACCACGTTTAAGCTCGACTGGAGTTATTATTACACACATACAAACTGCCCTGCTGTCCCCCAGAAAACAAAGACTTTCATCGACATCTCCCCGACGCTTCCAATTTGGAGAAGGTCATGTTAACCTTTCAGATCCTACAGACGCGTTCGTTGATTAATTTACCTAAGACTGGGAAGGTGGCTGAGCTCAGACCCAAGCCTCCAAGTTTTAGCGGTTATGATTCCCGATCTACACCCAACGCATTTGCCGAACACTAACAAAACTTCTAGCAAGCGCCCACCACTGGAATCGAAAGCACTTTTTTCCCAGGAAACACATCTTTTCCACCGAAAATTCCCAAACCCGAGACCCACTACTTTTTACTGAACAAAAAGCGTGTGTGCCGGCAAGAGGGGGTGAAAAGAGCGTGGCAAGAATTTGCACGGCTCTTACGCCTCCTCCCTCGGAGCGCGCCCAAGTCTGCGGCCTCGGGCTCCGGGACACTTCCCCTCCCACCCGCGGAGGAGCCGCAGCTGTAAGTTGAGAGAAGCGGGCTCTGGGCACGTCAATCAACCGGGTCCTCCCGCCTCCCGTCTACACCTCCCCTCCCCCCCCCCCCCCCCCAAAAAAAAAAGACAGAGAAAGAAAGGGAAAAGAAGGTAACTAATTTGAGAACTAGTCTCCGCCGGGGCTTCGCCTCCGACCCAGGGAGGCCGCACGTCCCGGACGAGGCGCGCCGGCGAACGGCGGGATCGAGCAGGCGGCCCGGCAGCCGCCCGTCGCCGGGTCCTCGCGGCGCGTCCTCCGCGCCCTGGATCCCCGCACGGGTCGGCACCGCTCCGGCCCCGCACTCCGCCAGGCCCGCGGCCCGCGTCCTCCCGCCCGGGCCAAAGTTGCGCAAATAGCCCCACAACTGGCAGATACTCACCGACCGCAGCAGGAACCGGGGCTGCGGAGGTTTTAGGGAGTTTAAGGCAAATCAGCCGCGGGAAAGGCGGGCGGAGGCGAAGGGGCCGCGAGCTGCAGTGGCGGCGGCGCGCGGCGTTCGGGCTGGGCTGCGCGGAGAGGTTCTGGCTCTGCCAGGGACTGTGCTGCAACAAAGGACTTCCGCTGCCGCACAGCCGCGCCTGCCGCACCGCACTGAGCCGGCCCCGCTTACGCGGCGACTCCGGGTCTGCCCACCAGTTCGCTGCGGCGTCCGCCAGCCTTCCCCTCCCTCTCGCCCGCCCACCCACTCCGCCGCTGGCTGCTAGGGGCACCCGCGGTCGCCTGTTTGTTTGCAACAAGTTTCTGCGTCGGGCTCCGGGGAGGCTGGCGCAACCCGCACCGCGGGGGCCGGCGCGGCGGCGGCTTTACCACCCCTCTCGCCCCTCTCCCAAGGGTAGGCTTGGGACCTCCTCCTCCTCCTCCTGTTTGCACAGCTGGATGGGACTGGGCTCCTCCCGACTCTCCAAGGGCAGGATGCTGTTTTCCCACTCCGTCCAGATGTCAGACCCCTGCCCCGGAGGGCTCGGCAGCCGAGCCTTCCCTCTCAGTTCGTCCCTGACGTTGTGGGGGCGCCAGCACCCTTGCCCAGTCCCGTGCGCCGCCAGGCGGTCCGGGGTCGCCCATTCCCCGCGCTCCCCCCACTCTGCCTGCCATAGGCCTGTCCGCCTCTGGCCTTGAGTCACTTCCCCCGCCATGCCCCACCCCACCCAGCTCGCCTCCCCTCCCAGGCTCCAGCGGCTCAGCCTCCTTGGCCCCGCGCCCCCACCCCTCTCCCCGCGAACACGCGGGCGCATCCTTCCCCACCCCCACCCCCACCCCCGAAGTGAGGCACTGCTGTGCTTTTGCACGCCCTGGGGAAAGTCCCCGGGTCACGCGGTTGTGTGTGGGGAGCCTGTGACGCTCAAGCTCGTCTCCACGCTTCCGCCTACAGAGTCACGACTGAGGACCGTGGCGGAGGTACCCAGAGCGCGGGCCGACCCCCGCCTGGCCACTAGAGTAGGCGGGAGGGCGCGCACGTACGCACGCACGCACGCACACTTCAACCCCCGCGCCCCTCGTTCCCCGGCTACCAGGCGCGCGGTCACGTGGGCCATCGCGGGGCGGCCGGCGCGGGAAGCCGCGCGAGAGCGGGCCGCAGGGTGCGTGAGCCGGCGCCGCCGCGTGACGTGCGCGGCGCGGGAGCCGCCCCTCCCGCACGGAGGAGCCGGCTGGCCGCCGCGGCGGCGTCTGGGTAAGCGACGCGGCCCGGCCCCTGTGGGCTGCTCCGGGCTCAGTCCCTCCCGCCGCGAGCCGCCCCGGGCGGCGGCCTGCAGCTGCGCCGGTCGCGGGACAGATGCAAGTAGCTGGGGAGAGGGGTGTTTTGGTCCGTTTGACATGTCAATCAGGGCGCAGGAGGAAAATGGCAACCGCGAGTGAGCACTGGGCGGAGAATGCCCAGAGCCGCCTCTCGCTGCCCGCAGAAGGCGGCTAAGGGGGCCTGACCCCGCGCGGGAACCCCCGACGGGCCCGCGGCGTTCCCCGGGCGGCCGCGCGAACCCTTCTTGCAAGTGGGCGGGTCTCCTGGTGCAAGCTGAGAGACGCTGCGGCCACTGTCCTCTCCCTTCCCCACCCCCGTTTGTGATTACCCCGTTTCTAGGGCAGGAAGTTCCTCCTCCTCCATAATTCATTTCTTTCCTTTTTTTTTTTTTTTTTCAGATTATGTTAATCTCATTCTGAGTAAATCCAGTTTTTCTTTTTAAAGTTTGCCGGATCGTTCACTGCTTCCCTAGCACTCGTTATTTGGAGAAACGAAGCTACTTAGCACTTAGCGCTGTACTTGGAATTTGACAGCAGCTACCGTGTTTCATTCAGTAACGCCCATTTCCCCCCCGGAAATTACATTTCGCATTCAATCTCTTGAGACTCAAGGGTTTTTTTGACAAAACTGTTGATTCGCGCAGGATTTTGTCAAGTGTGTAAAGTACACTTTGGGATGACAGATTTTAAAGCTGAAAGGGGCCTTACAGGAAATCCAGTTCATCCCTCTGTTTTACAGATGAAGACACCAGGCCTAACGAACGTGTAGCTTGACTGAAGCCCTACACACCTTTTGAGTAACTGGACTCCAGGGCTCGGGGCCTTGGTTACCACACCAGGAGCGCAGTGCCAGTTTAACCCACTCACTGTAGAGACAGTCTGCCAGAGGTGATTATACTTGGCTTGATTCAGATTATTGAGAAACAAGGCTTGGCCGTTGTGTGTTGGCTCTGGTATTTTAAGTAATGGGGTTGGCATTATCTTTAGGTGGAATAGATTGCCTATGATGTATTTGGGGGCTCAAAGCCCATCTTCTCCAAAATTCAGCCCTATTCTCTGTAAGAATAACCAACATTTGCAGCACTGGTTACTTCCTTAGGTTAAGGCATCAAAATTCCTTGAGCAATCTAGGTATGTTTTGATTAAGAGTAAACTATCCAGTATCAGGAATCAGTTCCTTAAGAGGGTGCAGTATATGGGGATAGCACTTGGAATAGATTAGTTCTGATGGCTGGGAGGTTATCAGGAAAGAGTGGAACCTGGAAGGGATGGTCAGTAACAAAGCAGGGAGGGGCCTCAAATGACTTGCTCTACCTTTTTGCCCAGCCCTTCTCTGAATGTCTTATTTGGAGGTAATGGAGATGGATTCAGCTCCAGTTGTTGGCCGTTTATTGAGCACCTGCAGTGGCTAGCCACTTTCATAGATGAATTCTGAGTACTTGACAAAAAGGGAGGTGGTATTGTCTCTATGTTACAAACAAGGAAACAGAGATTTACCTGGCTTCTGCGATGCTGTCATTTGCAGTGGAATTCAAGGCTAGATCATTTATCTCCCAAGTCCAGTCAGTGCTCTTTTGCATTTTATCTTGCTACCACTTCAAGCCGGGAAAGGGATGAGAGAATCGCCTGTGGCTGATTTATTGGCGCCTGTGGTTGCCCAGAGAGGCTGAGCAGGACTTTCAGCGGCCCTCTTTGCCTTAGAAAATGGAGCTGTGTGCTTCCACCCTATCTCCTGAGGGGAATGCTCAGGAGCCAGGCTGTCTAGCTGGGGAGGAGGGGCCCAAGAGTCTTGGCTGTAAAATATCCTGGCAAGGGCAATGCTGGGAAGTGTTGCATAATGCCCTCCCCACCACTGAACCAAAGTGATTTATTTACTATGGCCCGTAGGTGGTGCTTGACCATCTTGTTAAAGAAAAACTTGTCCTTTTTTGTAATAAAAGCCCAAAACAGAGTTGGGGGGATTTATATTGTTGCAGGGTTTTTTCCTTGTCTTAAAAAAAACAGTGCAGGTGCTCTTATCTTGATAAGTTATAAAGTACTTCTACACCACTTCCTGTGCCCCCTTTCTGCTTATTTATTCCAAATTGCATGGGAACTTCCATCTTTTGAGAGAAAAATGCTAAGAAAAATACTATAATTTATAGTTACAGCACAGGTTATGGAGTTAGACCTAACTTTTGATCGACACTTTATACTCTCTCCTAGTTGTGTGTTCTAAGCCCATGCCATCTGTAAAGTAGATATAAAAATAACACATAGCCAAGGTGAGGACTAAAAGAATGTACATAGAGCACTTAGCACAAGGCCTTGCATGTAGTATTTACTCATTATAATCGTAACTATTTGAACTAGAACAGTGTTACTCCCTCTAGGATAGGAAAGGTATTACTACTTGAAGGTGCTTAGGGAGAATAGAGGAAAAGGAAAGTATTTGAAACAAACATCAGTTTCAGGATTAGTAATTGAATTTATTCACACATCTGCTTTCCCTTTGTTTGCAGGAATTTTTTTCTTTTTTTTCATCTTAACTGAAGAAAAAGTGTTTATATTATTGTAAGTTGTTTCTGAAAATTCTCTAAATTATTCCTTCCCTGTACATATCAATCATACGATGACTTTTTGTTCCTTGTGAAAAACTTGAGGCACTTTAAGCAAAGGGCTTCATTAAGCCATCTGGATAACGTGTTTGTGGACCATTCCGTGGCAAAGGAAGTATTGGTTCACCTATATTCAGAAGTTAAAATTAGTCTTGTTTGTACTGTATTCTAGGTCTGTACTCACATTGTCGTTATCCAGCTTCCCACTGTCCTTTGAGTACCTTATTTTTTTCTTTCAGAAATGCAGTCATTACTTTTTTTTTTTTTTTTTAAGAAGAATCATTTATTTTCCTTCACAGGGTTCTGATTTTTTTAAGGTTCACTAGCAATTTGCGCTCACCGGTGTTGGCACCCTTGTTTGCCTGGTGCTGTGGCTTTATCAGGCATCCCACATGTTGGTTAGATGGTTAGAGATGTAGTAGGCTGGCTTTGTCTGGCAACAGGCAGGCCCCAAACTAACGTTTCCCTGTTCCGTTAAAGGTTTCTAGAGCATAACTGCTCTTCCTGTGTCATCTACCACGTCTGCTTCTTACCCTCTTCTCTAATATTTTCAGTGATTTTCGTAAGCAGATGCTTAGAATTACTGCACATTTTATCTCAATATTCTCAGATTTGAGATTTCCATATCATCTTCAGATGTTATGAAAATAGGCATATTGGTGTATGAGAGTAAATACCTTTTTTTCCTTAATACTTTTTTAGGAGAAGTCTGAAAATGGTATGTTCCTCTTCTGCCCCCAGTGTCCAATTAACTAGTTTGAGAGCACTTTTGTTTCTCAGAATCTGGCTAATTTTTTGTTTAAATTTACAATTAGAATTACAATTGTTGATTTTTGTTCATTTAATGTAATTGGTACAATTCCCACATTTTGAGCATAGCTTGTAAAATTGCTTCTTTTTCTCTGTAATTCTACAGTGTGAAATATTCTCTTTATTTTCCTTGGTTTCCTTCTAACACAATGGTTCCTAACTGAGGCGTCATATTAGAACCACCATCCTTTTTAAAAAAGGATGTGAGGGGTGCCTGGGTGGCTCAGTGGGTTAAGCCTCTGCCTTCAGCTCGGGTCGTGATCTCGGGGTCCAGGGATTGAGCCCCGCGTTGGGCTCTCTGCTTAGTGGGGAGCCTGCTTCTCCCTCTCTCTCTCTGCCTGCCTCTCTGTCTACTTGTGATCTCTGTCTGTCAAATAAACAAATCTTTGAAAAAAATTTAAAAATAAAAATAAAAAAGGATGTGAGACTCACTCTCAGCAATTCTGTTTAGCTTGGTCTAGGGTAGGACACAGGCATCAGTCTGCATTGAAAGTTTTACAATACAGTCAGTGATAAGAGCTACTATTCCATGATAAAATGATCTCTGCAAACATTCTTTCTCTAGGTTATAAAATGTTATACCTCCATAATCCTGTGAAAGTATGATTAAAAAGTTAAAATCATTGTATAAAGTCTGTTATCATGTGGCACTTTGAATATTTCTTTTACCTTTGTATTTATAGCCATGAGTAAGTATCTCAAAAAAGGTGCACATATTCCTCTGCCAACTTTTCTGTCTCCTTCTCTTAATGATAATTTAATAATAAAGTCACAGTGGTTGGAACCACAGAGAAAATATCTAAGACTATTTATTTTCTACAGGAACAGTTGTCTTAGTCCTCTTGTCCCATTTTTATTAAAGATTCTACAGCCTGAGAGAATGAAAAGCTATGTATTCCAGGGCATGGTCTGGCTTCCATAGGTCTGAGAGTCCAGTCTAACTAATACAAAAGATTTTTTTTAATAAGTAAAAATCAAGAGATGTTAAATTTCAAGTTAACTTTGAATTAAACAAAAATGGATACTGGTATAAAGCTGTTGTAGTTTACTTAGTTTGAGCTAATCCAGAGTTACTGCAATTTAGTTAGTAAACAAGGTTTTGTAGTCTCTCTTAAATATTAATATGAATTCTATTATTATAGTATAAATATCACTTTGATAATAGATACAGCATTTTCAGATGAAGCACTCTTTCATTTTGGCTTTCGTATCTATAATAAAATGATAAATTATTTTTTGCATCTCCTCTCACATCTTAAAATTTCCACCCAAAATTCTTTTCTTTTAAGATTTTATTTATTTATTTGAGAGAGTGAGAGCATGAGCAGTGGGGAGAGGGAGAATCAGGCTCCCCGGTGAGCAGGGAGCCCTGACAGTGGAGTTCCATCCCAAGACCCCAGGATCATGACCTGAGCCTAAGGCAGATGTTTAACCAGTCTAGGTACCCACGTGCCCCTCCACCCAAAATTCTTAAATAAAACTTCTGAGATCTTTCTGTATGCATAGGAAGCTTTAGCTGTTCCACATACCAGAGAAAATAATACGGTCAAAGAAATGATGAACAAAGGCTACATGAAAAACCTAGCTAATAAATTTGCCAAGAAGGTTGTATTAGAAAATGTTTTTAATAACTTTGCGATGGATTGGCTCTATTGACAGATAAAATCTGATTGTGTTGCCTTAAAACATCAAAGGTCTGTTGTTATACAAAGAAGTTTGAGTGAACCTGTTATGTATCTAAGTTGTGGGTTTTTTTTTTTTTTCCTTTTAAGCATATCTGAATTTGTTTCATTTTATAAACTTGGAAAAAATTTCCCTTTATTCGCTTCAATATATTTGCAAAATCTGCCATCGGTATGTATGTTAAAAGTTACAGATGGGGATTTTGAAGAAAGGGGATGAGTTAAAAGTCAGACTCAAAATACTACCAGCACCATTATGGCTAGTTGTCTGACTTTGCGTACCTCTCCCACCTTCTCTGAGCCTTTGGTTCCTCAACCATAAAATGGAACTAATATCATATCTGCTCTATTACCTCATAGGATTTAAAAAAAGATAGCATAGGGCAGAGATTCTCAAAGTGTGGATCAAGGACCCCCCAGAGGTTCCTGAAACCTTTTCAGGATCTACAAGGGTCTTGCTTTTGAAAGGCCAAAATCTCTAAATATACTTGAATTAAAACAACTTGTGGCAACAGATTGAACACAGAAATAAAGAACCCAGCTGTATTTTTTAAAGCGTGGTATGAAAGAGTACTGTAAAATATAAAACAGTGCTACTCTTCCCACTTACAAAATATATGTGGTTATTTTTTAGAAAAAAAATGTTAAAATATAATGGGTTTATTATTATTTAAAATGAATTAAACATTTTTAAATGTCTCACTTTTTATATGGTAAATACTGATAAATACAACCCACATAAGCAACAGCTCTTTGCAGTCCCTAATGCTGCTCTTAAGAGTGTAAGTGGATCTTGAGG